GTCGTGCTCCGCACGAAAGAAGGCGTCAATGACGTCGTACTGCTTTTTGTGCATTGACCATTGGTGTGTTACGCAGTATTTGGCTCGCGGAACCCGTTCGATTATACGACGCTCACCTCGGTCCGAAGGTAGGACCGATGGCATGTCTTCGGTAACGACGTATTTAAATTTTTTCAACAAAGTATAGTACGGATTCAAGGGATATTTCAGGATTGAAGATCCACTTCGTGCGCTCAGCTCCCTCTTGGTGTCTTCCAGGACAGCTTCATCCAGAAATGACGACGAGTTGATCTCATAGTCGGAGAGTATAACGAACACTCCGGCTGGGCGTCTGCCTTCAAGGTTGTCTTCGTCCAGTGGATAACGTGCCACTTCACGCGCATCTGAAGGGCCTTGCTCACGATGCCTCGTACCTCGTCTGACCATGCCGCTCGTGACATGCAGCGACTGCTATAGATGTGAGCAGTGCTCAGTAGATTCCGTGCCGTGCATCACGGGGGCCTCGCCCTCGGTTCCTCGGCCACTGACCACCATCTCACTCAAGGCAGGCAGCTACTGCTCCGATACTTGAGCAGCGCTCAGTAGCTACGTGCGACTCCACGTTCAGCCCGCGAGTCATGCTGGAGACCTCTGTCCGATGCACCTTCGGTGTTCACCAACTCTCCAGCACGTTGACCGTCTCGGACCAGTGCCCGTGCCAATAGCGATTTTGCCTCATAGAAGAGATGGATTTATGACTGACCAAAGCTCCGCCAGGAGACGTGCGCGTAGCACTCAAGGTCTTTGAAATCCGATGGATTCATGACTGACCAAAGCTCCGCCGGGAGACGTGCGCGTAGCACCCAAGGCATTTGAAATCCGATAGATTCATGGTTCATGATGTTTCAGCCATACCATACCAAGGATGAGGTCAAACCTAGAATCCAAGTCTAAGACCAAGCAGCGTTCCACGCTGTCAAAGTCATGACTTGACGCAAAGGACCATAGGGACCTTTGACACCGTAACACACTAAACGAACAGTGGCGATATCAGCATACACCTGACTCCCTTCCATCGTGGAGCGTCGAGCACTCCGGGGTCGACCAGGATCTTCCATGGCCTTTCAAAGCCCTTCGCGGTCACTTCCACGACCAGCAAGCCCGGCTTGGATACACGTTCCGTGTTTTTAGAGCACGGAGCTATTCGCGACTGGGCCCTGCTAACCTCTACCTCCTCGACGCTCAACAGACCACAATTCTTCCCTAGTAGACAACCCCGTGCCTACTGGGTGTTGTCGTTTCCCCGCGACAAATCAGAAGTCTGGTGACAAGCGGGACGTCAGCTTGACGCGACTTGCGCAGGGGACAACTAATACAAAAGTGACGGGTGTCTCTACAGACAAAACACCGTCGAAGGGCTGAACGCTGCTCGGCAGCCTGGAGCTCTGCCTCCTTGTACTCAGCATAGCCAAGATCCATCGGCTCAGGCCTGCTCGACGAGCTCTGAGGGTGTGCATTTAATCCAAGGGTGCCGACTTAAATTTGGATTCGGCGTTCGATACAACACTCAAAGCTTTTTCAAAAGAAGACGGATGTACACGGAAGCTGGCCACGCCAGCGCGGAGGTTCTCCATAAAGACGGTCTCTGTGACCGCCTCGGGAAGAGTATTGGCTTCTATACCGTCAATGAGAGTACGCAACGCTTGGACAAAATCCACAAATTCCCTCTTGGCCTGTCAGAATACAAGAAAACGCGATCGCAAGCGATATGACTGGTCAGGCAGCAAGATCACTCGTAACAGCTGCAGCTTCAGCTCCGACCAGGCGGGAAACGCCACTTCGGCCGAAGTACCGCACGTCAGTGCCCATTCTCGCGCTCGAACACCGAGCTAGGAGATAGCTAGCGCCACGTGCTGTTGCTTGGTCTGGAGCATTGCGGAAGCCGTAGCCACTTTGGCCTTTCTCACGCGAAGCAGGAGATTTTCTCCATCTTTGCCCTCGAAGTTCTTAACACTCACGATGAGCGGCCTGGGTCGGATAAGTAATCCGTAGTCGACGGTGGCGTCATAGACGCTGTCGACGCCGACATCTTCTGCTGTAGGTGCTCGAGTAGAATATTTTCATAGCTTTGAAAACGTCTTTAGGTTCGCGCGGATCGGTTCGGGTCCATGCGAAGCAAGGTGTCGCACTCCCTTTAGGACCAAGCAGGGACATCAGCTTTTTGAGCCCGTCATGCATGCCCTGGGGCAAATAGAGAACTGTTCCATCCTCACAGATGGTCAGTCGTAACGACTCAGATGTAGATTGACTTCAAGGGCTAACAAGTGCAGCAGGGCTGCCGTAGATCTTTCGGTTTGAGGAGCTTGGTTAAGGTCGGCGACCTTCGTTCTATACTTAGAGCTGGTACGAATGTAGCGGATTACTCCGAGAGTAATTACAACCTCAACCCCAGGCTAATCTACTCTTACTTGAGACCCCATGCGACTGATAATCGGATCGCTGCTCTAGAGCCAAAACAATCCAGCTACGTGAGATGATTGAGACAATAATGCCCATTTAAGCAAAACGCTTTGAATCCGGATGGCTCGTGGGACTGGGGTCAAAATAACTTTCACTCGCGAGGACACATTTTAATCGTATAGACTCTGAACACTGCATGTGCGGGTATGTTGACAGTCGAAAAGCTTGAATATCAGCTTTCGAGGATAGTATCCCGTGGAAGGGACTGGCTTACGCCACCCAGTTCGAAAAACAGAGAAACGTCGATCTCGTCACCAGTATAGATCTCCAAGTAGGAAATAGCATTCTGTATCACACAGAATGTTTGCGACTTCATATAAGATGCAACGTATGCATTTGGGAATACCATACTGTAATCTTTTGTTATAAATTATCACAATGCATACAGAAGGTACTTCAATGTAATGGCTAAGTGTAGCCCATTACATTTATTATGTGGTGGAGTCTCGTGACAAGGACATCACGTGTAGAATATTGTACGAGGAACATGATACCCCCTTTAGATGACCATTTCGAATGACTCTTACTCTGTAAGTGCTATATCCTAGTGGCTCAAAACCTATGAGTGGGTACATGTTGATGAGCTGGCAAAAGACGACCCTCTCATGTAAGCTTTCATGGTCGCGGCAGCACGTCAACTTTTCGATACTCTGGCTTCGGCCAGTACTGACACGAGTGTGTTCAATGCGCTTGCTGAACTTGCGACTAGAATATCTTCTGTTCTTGATATCCTTATATTGAGGAAATTTCACACGTCGCGTCGGTGCTAATATTTGATTAGTACAAAGACAGCCACTAGCAGTGCATACAAGCAAAAATATCGCTCTGATGAAAAAATAAAAGGCCTTTGCTTGCCAAAACTTTTGACAGTGCAACACATGTTGCGTCTGATTCGTACGCTGTATCGCTTATTCTACAAAATATTGCTAAGATCTTGTAACGTATATCGAAAAGGTCAAAAACAAGCTACCATATGCGCGGTCGGCTGATCTTTTAAAGGCAAGGACAAACGCTTGTGAGTCATGGTTCGGCACTTGCTGGCATGCCAGTAATTGTTCTTTATCGCTGATATATGTGTACCCTCGATACTTTATATAAATTCTCAGACCAACACATCATATTCATGCGGTTTCCACTCCGTTTTATCTTTAACTTAACCTAGTACACTGTTTGATGTAAGCGCGCGCCTTCGCAGCCACTAAGATGGCAATGCGAAGCATGAACAAGTTGAATAGCAGATGTGGCGCTTGATTTTTTCTGAACTGATATATATTAATTACATCGACGATGATATGTACAGTTACTGATACTTCAATACTGTCGACCACAAAACTACATGTGCCATCCGTCCTTGAGTCAAGCGCTTTTGTTGCCACCTATTTGACCTCACACAATGAAAACTTAAGCTCAACATCAGCAAGTAAGACGACTGCTTGTTCCAACTAGTGAACGACTCGCTTACAAAATTATTGCAACTGCACGTCATGCGTCATTTCGTTGTGACCACAAAGTAGTAATGTACCCCACTGTCAAAATTTGACAATATTCGATCTCACGATTGAACAAAACCTCAAATAGAACAAAAACCAGTTTGGCATTTTATTCTCTTTGGACATTCCAGCGTCGTGATGCTGTCTCCATGTGCCTCGATGCTGCAGCTCACGCGCCAATGCACATGTGCAGCTGATACTGAATCTGATTCAGATAATGACAGTGATACGAGTAACTCTAGCGTCTTCAGCAGTGGCCGTAACACTACAGCATCAGCATCTGAAACAAAGGCAAATTTGACTAATGATGCCAATCTCGTCTTCTCAAATCCATGGACGACGTCGGTTTCACTAAATGAGCTAGCACAAAATATGCAGGACCCGCTTAAATCTTCGCAAGCGCTACACAACGTTGAGGCACTGCGTCAAGCGTCATCGCTCGACAATCTTTTTTGCAAGTGTTACGACATCGACACAGTGCTCACGACCGTGCAAAAACGAGAGCGAGGTCAATTCTCGCCTTTGCAAAAGCTTTTGCTCGAGCCGGAGTCCATAAGACAGGTGTTTACCTACGCTACGTCGTCCAGTGCTGGTCTTAGCAAAAATGGGAGCAATGCCGAGCCATCAAATAAATATCGACGAGCGTACGTGGCCACGGAGATAATTTTAAAATTCTATTTGAAAGCAATGGCCTGGTACGGAGAGCCAAAACGAGATCACAATGGGGCTCAACACTGTGATTCTGAGCCGATTTCAAAGCTGGAACAGTCACGTTTCGACACGAAAGGACTGGCTTTGAAAATACCACCAACGAATTTACCGACAATGACGAACTTTTGCAGCAATGCGTCAACAAGGAAAGTGGCGAGAATACAGCGTCTGCGTGCAGGTTTGAGATTTGAGAGTTCAGACAGCAGTCTCTCGGACTTTAGCTCAAACGAAGATGACGATGATCAAATGTCGGAGGATCCCGCGACCCGCGGGTATTTACTGCGGCTTGAGGATTTGACGTCAGAGGAGTGGAAAAGTATCTTTGGAGGTTTGTTTGACTTTTTGTGGCAAAAGGCGAAGAGTGATGGGCAACAAGATAGTGAGCACCAGGACTTGGATGTTGAAGTACAAATTGATGAGGTCTTGGTCGTCAACATGTGTCGCATTGTGAAGACTTTTGTCGCGTTTCCAGCAGTGCATAAGCTTCTATGTGATGAAAGCGAGTGCGAAAACAAAGGTCTGGTGTTACGCCTTATACTCCATGCTTACAATCCGGATATTGCATCATTGCTACACGGCTTGATTCATCTTTGTGTCCGTCGAAATTTTCCGATATCTCAGATTATTCGGTGCCTTGTCGAACAGATTGTGGAAAATGTGCCGATTCGACTTGCCCGATCTTCCTCTTCCGTTTCTTCAACATCGACAGTATCGTCCACATCATCCACATCTCCACGATCTTCATTTGGTGAGTTATCAACTGAGTCTCCGTCTGCAGCTTTTTTTTCTAAGCCTGCTATTCCATCATTGTTTACATCAAGCACGTGGTCAATAGCTCATGCACGAATCAGTGGATGTGCAGAGATTTTGACAAAGATCTTGAAAGATGAATATCCGAATACTTTTCGTTATCTTGATCACTCAAAAGTTCAATTGGCATCTTTTGAGAGTGTGAAAGCTTTTGAAAACGAGCTTTTTCCTCCAAAAAAGGCACATATCGACCCTATGATGCACCACAAGCTAAAGTATGCAGTGATGACAGCCTTGACAGAAAACTCGACCAAACTCACTCGACTCGCTGAGCTTGGGGTAGCAGAGCTCCGATTTCTCGACGTGCATCGCGTAGACATGGCATGTATTCCTCAAGTGCTTGTAATTGATATTTTGAGTCATGCTCTCGAGGTTTCTCGGTATAATGCAGAGCTATTGGATGCGTTCGTCGTACCAGTTGATCTCATTTTGGGTACTATTTGCACGTTAATAAACTATCATCAGCATTTGTCGACAATCTCCGAGTTCGCTGCTCGTGACTGCTTCAGTGATAGCGACTCGGATGTTGAAAGCTCAGAAATAATCGAAGACTCTGATTTCGCGATTAACAAACAGCGTCCGACAGAGTCGTTAAAACGATTTGCTTCACGAAGTTCGCTGAGCATGAGATTTTTCTCTCCCGCTCTCAGTTTTTCACCTACGTCGGGAAAAGCAACAGTGAATTATCGACCACTATCATCTACGTTGCTTGTGGTGCATGTTGTGGATTTGTTAGATGCTGTTATACTGATGGCAAAGGACGTTTTTGACTATCGTTTATCACGATTAGATCTTGCAACATCTTTGCTGGACATTTTTGATAAGTTTCCCTCAGCCAGCATCCTACACTGTCGACTTGTCAAACTCTATCTCAACCTTTTGAATCGACCATCTACTAATGGTCATGTAAACAACCCTCTCCTTCGAAGTGTCTTTCGTTCTCCTAATTCAATACTGGAGTTTATGCTGCGTAAGTTGGACATAAACAGCACCAGTCATACCTATGATGCCCATTTAGCGATCATTGGAGTTAAAATTGCAAAGATCTGCAGCTCCCCAACCCTTCAGCAGGAATTAATTTGCCAGTTTTGCAACAATATCAAAGGGTGGAATGATTTTGCAGCAGCACTTGTTGCTACTCACCATCAGCAAATGGACGCACTTGGTGATTCCCTACTTGGCTTACAACTTGGCAATGGTAAGACTCGCAAAGGAATTTCACGTACACGCTTCACAGATGATGATAACATAGACACGGAAGTTGTACTCGCTCGGGCGTCATCTTCAGCGAGTGAATATCTATCGCGTGATTTAGAGCCGTTTCGACGGCTACCTATGGAATCAGAAGGTATTGGATCATCTCAGAACCTGGCACGAGGGAGCGAGGTAGTGCATCCAAGTGATATGTTTCAGAGTCGATCACAAAGCAAGTATCCCAAATCAATTCTTGACATTCTACAGGCCGAACAGCTCAACTCATTTGATATCGATGAGGACCATGCTTTTATTGCTGGTTATGCTTATCAAAAGCGCTCGAAGTGGGTTAAGGTGCACTTGAAATTTGAGAAGTCTACATGTCACTTGACGGTGCAAGACGCTGCAACGCAAACTTCTCGGCCCCTTAAAATTGGTGCGAGCAAAGCAATGACTCCATCAATTTTGAAGCAATTTTTGATGACACACACTCAAGTTTGGACGTCACGGCCAAAAACGTTGGTTGTATGTAATGCTCGAAACTGGATTGCTTTTGGTCGAAGTGTGAAAAGGCCCGATCGAGGTGCCTTTGGTTTCCAAGTTGAGGTCTTTGACGGTCATCGAGAAGAAGACGAAACTTTAACTTTTGTTACTTGTTCCAAAGCTAATCAGATAAAGTGGTTTGACACTATGCAAAATGCTGTCAATAGGACACGGACATCTCGATCCAGTTTTAGTCAAATTGACGTAGCAGCCAATACGACATTAGTTGAGTGCGTATCGAAATGTCGCGGTGGGCCTTATTCGGTGATTCCGGATGTAAATCTTTTGAGTCCAGTGACGTCTGCAAGCTTTTTCTTAAGGTCGGAAGTGCCCGAAGAAATGCCGTTTTGGGGGACGTACCATGGCGAATTGGGCATTGTAAAGTACGTCACATTATTTAAACAGTGCCTGCGTGTTGTCTCGGTCAAAGAGAAGAATATTCAAGCGATAAATTACTCTGTCATTGTGGAGTTCGACGCAACTTTTCAAAGAGCTGACGAAAGTGTTGCTCTTGATGATGTGAACCCTCCTTCTGTCGCGTGTGCGTGTACTGACACATACTTGATCAGCGGTTGTGAAATAATTGGTTTGACCCGTACGATTGCTGATTCTGAAAAATTGATGGAGATTTTATGTAATGAATAGCGCGAAATAACATTTGCTATATTTATTGTTGCAAGGTGATTACTTTATTTGAAGTTCTTTGTTAGCCAAGACATAACTTTAAGACGATCGATGTGGCCATCATTGCTGGGGTCAAGCTCGCAAAATACCTCCTGAATTTGTTTAGCTGACAAGGCCATGCCCAAGTCGCCGCATATTCGTGCAAAGTCGTCTTGGTGAATTTCTCCTGCGCCGTCGTGACCAAATTCGTTGATAAAAAGCTCAAACCAATCTTCATTCTTTGTTTCTGCACCGTATCGTTCTAGCAACTCTTTAATGGTGCGGCTTAAGAAATCTGGAGGTTCATTCCTGTGATCCTGTAACAAATACATGGTGAGAAATGCAACTTAGAGATAGTACTTTAAGGTGCTCACGGCGTTGTCAAAGCCATCGGAAGCTGTTCGAATGTTATGCTCGAACGAATCAAAGTAACTTTTGCTTGTGTCAATAGCTTGATCTCGGTCAGTTCTCTCTACTAAAACCGTTGGCATATCCCAGGTTGCCTCTCCTGTTCGATGATTGACATAGTATGTGTGTCCAGAGATCGGATCAATTTTTGTGTCAACAAGCGAGGGAAGAAATTTGCACAGTTTTGTACGTAAAATACGAGCTCTATAGATACGCTGAAGTTTTACAGCCGCAGCAGCCCGTTCTGGTCCAGTGGCATTGTTAGCAGTGCATTTAATAGACTTGCGTCCTGCTTGATGCTTGGTATTTTCATGAAATATCTTGACTGTCGAGTGTAACTTGTGCATTTCAGACTCTGTCATGTCGGCCATCCAATAGGTACAGGTGCCACTCTGCTTGTCACCTGTGCAGAAAGTCACTGTGGCTAGCGCTGATCCTGAAAAGGAATTCGAATCTGGTTTATATTGTGTTATTTGGAACGAGTGCGCTATCTTATATGGAAATGCACTCTGAATGGCGGTGCCGTCTAGGTAACAGTATTTCAAACAGGGCATGGCGTAGATTTCTGCCGGCAGATTTCCACGCAGCTTTGGATTATTTCGTATTTTCAGCGTCTTAAGAAAACGCAAGTGAACAATTTCGATGGGAATAGTCCCTGAAAGTCCATTTCCTGACAATTCGAGAGCCACGACATGATTGCGCTCCCACATTACTCCGTACGCAAGTGAAGACGTTTGCTGCATTGTAGATGTACAAACGCTCCTGTTTTCCTTCTCTAAAGCTTGAGAACACTTTATTATTTTGTCCCATCCCGTTTGACAAATCCACGTCGAAGTTTGTCCGTCATCATTTGCCACTCGACCTCCAGTTGCTTGGAAAATCAATGCTAGTGTCGCAATCTCAAGCTGGCTTGGTGACAGACGGGAAAGAATTCTTTTGTCATTGCGATGAAATAGTGATTCTCGCATGTGATTTTTGACATCAGTCGTTGCTTCGTGAGAAGTTCCGAATAACTCGGAAAAACCGGCTTTGTATAAATAGAGGATGCGGATATATTATTATACTTTCAACTTTGTGTTGGTTCTTCTGCTGAGAGAAATAAAGTTGATGATTTTCTACCATCTCTCTTACGAGCGTCAGCTTCCTGTACCAGCTACATTATCCTCAGGAATGTTAGAAGCAATGACGTGAACACAATAGTAAGATATGAGTTATATACCTTAAGTTCCAAACGTTTTTGACGTCGCTTCATTGCTCGCTGGCTACGATGAGCACGATCGCCTCTTAAGGACTCTAGCAGATTCGTTTCTCGAAAAGCATCAGCAGCGAGTTGTATGTTCATCGATGTAGTCGTCATCGTGTTTAAAGCTGAGCCATCAACTCGGGCAGCCTCGTCATCACCTCGATCGGCACAAAGTATCACAATGGAGCTGTTGCCTCCTACAATACAAACTGTGAGAGAAAAATGAAACACTGAGGACTGAGAAATTATCAAGCAATCACCATATGAGCAAAGCGCTACCATATGTGCTGTTGGTGACCAGCTCACATCCAGCACAGGGCCATCGTGGTAGAAGTGGGTGCCCCATACACCACGTTGAATTTGTTGGCCGTAAAGACTCGTATAAACCCGTGGCCTACCGTCTTCAGACCCACTGATGACAAATCTGCCGTCGGGACTAAACGTACTCTTGATCATCAAAGACTCACAGACAACATCAGCATAACTCTTGTTCAACAGAAGAAAGGACCGCAATTCGTATTGGAATATTGCATTTGGTTGCGAATGGACCAACAAGTGAGCTTTTCGAGGGTGTAACTTGAGTGACGTGATACTAGCTTGGCCAGTTTGAATAGTCTTAATTCGTTGATATTCGCTATACGTCGACACATTTTCTATACGCCTCCATACCGTGATATCACCCTTGCTATCTCCACAAAAGATACGTTCTGACTTGGCTTCGACACAAACGCAGTGAACAGCTGCAGAGCTCACGTGGACTTCTGCATACTCGGCTTGACCATTTGGTATGTCTGACTCGATTCGGAAGCGCAAGTAGCCATCTGAAGCACCACTTAGCACGATCTGTCCTTTGCTTCTAGGAAAAAAGATAGCGCAGTATACAAATGAAGGAAAATGCTGCCACAAGAAAACCAACGAGAGCACATGATTTTGCACAGAGCCTGTAGAATAAGCGGCTAAGGGGGGGAGCTCCCAAAGTCGGACGGTACCATCCGATGATGCCGAAAGAAGTCGAGATTGTTCTTTCGAAGGAATACTCCATTCTAGCGAATAAATGACCCCACGATGACCACGACCTGTACCGAAGAGCTCTGCGGTTGCTAAGTTATACACCTGGACCACAAAATATCCTAATTCGGAGTTTACACTAGCAGCAAGAATGCGACCACATGGACTAAAGCTGATAGCTGAACAGCCTTTTTTTCCAGCTGGTAGAGAATATAAAACCCGGTGAGGAAGTATGCACGACTCAGAAGTGTTTTTCACGAAAGGTGCCATCAAATTGAAGCGTCCACTTGCTTTAGCGTCAAAAGTGGCAGCCTTACTTATTGAAACTTCAGATGGTGCAGCCAAGCTTTTGTTCTTGACCGACTCGTGATTTTCTTCAAGATCAAAATTTGCTTCAGCGCTTAAATCTTTCGTACCCTGATTGTGGGAAACTGCTACATTTAATGCTCGTAGCTGAATGTGCAGTGTACATGGAGCGGAAGCACGCGAGCGCTTCTGGTACTGAAGAAATACTGCTGGCATTGTTAAGTGGTCTTTTCTCCATCCCCACTGCAGTTTTGCTTGATACTTGTCAAAACAGCTCATCGGCTGAAATTGAAATAAACGAAGTCGTAGCCTACATGTATCGACACTAGACTTCATTTTCTTCTTTTCATTAGCGACTGATTCGTTCGGCAGGACAAATGAGTCAATTGTTGGGGTTCCTTCATCGGTCATAGCGTGAAAGAAGCCCCATGCAATGCTTCGATAGACTGGTTTGGAGCACTCCTGGCCTTCATTATAGTCATTGCAAGTGCTGAATCGATTTTCTCTACAAAAATTGATATTTTTCGCACGACGTTTTATTTCCAACACTTCGAACAGCAGAATTGTTCCGGTATCAAAACACTTGACTATATCAAACGGGAAATTTAAAGCTTCCTGCCATTCGAAAACATCTGAGACGCGCACAACAACAGCAATTAGAACATTCCAACGTAAGAAGTTTCTGTGCATACTTATCGCTTTGTCGCCGAACCGTGTGCTGAACTTGGCCATTTGCGTTGTTTGGGATGGACAAAGAACTCGACCGGTGCATCGATTTACGATGTGAACACGCACCTGTGGGTGGGAATAAGCTCCATAAGGTAACTCGTCCGAACATTCAATTGTCACTTCGAGGTGAGATTTTTTTGAGACAGCTTTGAGTACATCGATACGTGTCTTGGTTTGCTTCGTTAACGAAGGAATGTGCTTATCGCTGATTGCCCTGTTAAGGGATCCAAAAAAGTAGCTTAACGGTCGGCACGCCAATGACGGAGCTTCTACAATTGAAGCATCAGACATCCACCTGCGTAATAGTAAAAAGCCAGCACTTGGTTCGAAAGTCTGCTTCTTTTTTTGTCTATCAGCATTCTCGATCTCATTGTTATCATCGGCTGTCAATAGTTTCGGCATGTCGTTTTGATTTGAGATTTTTTTTGTCGGTTTGGAAAGAGGTTCTGGCAAGGGAGACTTGGCTTCTGGAACCTCTGTTAGCGTAGCTTGAAATTTTTTTAACCGATGCTGTCTTACAAGCGATTTACCTAGTTTTTCGTTTGCGAGAGGGCTTAAAGTATCTTGAATCATCTGTTCAACTAGTAAGCTCCCAATTCCTTCGTCCGGAAAGTCAACAATTGATAATACCAATATCTATTTTTTGTCAGGTGGTAACGTTTCGTTTCATCAAAGCGTCTAACACACTATGCACTTCTACTTGTCAATACAAATTCTAAATTTATGACTTTGGTGATGGCCAGCGTACAAATACGGCAAAAATCGCGTCAAGAAAGTATTTTGCTATTCGCTACGATAGGCCCGAAATTGTGGCAATCACAGCGGGACATATGGACGATTGAGAGCGCTGCGGAGATGTCACCACAAAATCGACCTAATCAATCAAAAACCATCAAATATCCATTTCGAATAAATATGCTGCAATTGATCTCCTCAGCCTACCATCTCATGTGCAAGCGGCATTTGCTGCTCGTCAAATTCTTCACTGATCAAAAACCGTTTCGCTTCCATGGCACGTTCAACGACTGTGTCTTTGAAGTCCAAACTACAGACATCAAGTCCAGCACATCACATGGTGGTAACAAAATCTCCCCTAACGTCACACTTACTCTAGAGCAGGTGCGAATCCCGTCTTTCTGTAATTGGGTGGATCAAACATGTATCGGTATACTCGAAGCAGTAACTTGATTGAATTTCGTGGCACGCCAGCTCGACGCAGACCAACTAGATTAAGCCCAGCAAGCTTTGCACGGTTACCCACAACTAAGCCGTAAGGTAGAACGTCAGCATCCACCGCACTCTGTCCACCCACCATCGCCAGTGGACCTATACTCACATGCTGTTTGATTCCCACCTGACCACCTATAATTGCACCGTTTCCAATGGACACATGCCCAGCTATGCCTACATTATTTGATATCACCACTCTTTTGCCTAGCTGTGAGTCGTGAGCTATATGTGCTCCACAGAGCAGCCAACAATCATCACCAATACGCGTTGGTGCCTGTGAGTACGACGTACTGCCATGTATTGTCACATGCTCTCGAATCACACAATTATTGCCTATATCTAGTGTCATGTCATTGCATTCTAACTTTGCAAACATCAAATGCTTTTTATCTTGTGGCTTGTCTCCCAAACACGCAAACGAATGAATGACAGTTCCACTCCCGACTCGTGTATTGCCTTTGATCACCACGTGACTATAGAGTTGAACATCGGCCTCCAGTACCACATCTAATCAGTTATCAAATCAGTCTAAATAATTTATTAAAAAGACAAATCAAGGACCCACACCTGGTCCGACGACACAATACGGTCCTACTAAGACATTCGGGCCCAATTTTGCGTTCGGGTGGACCACAGCTGTCGCATGTACTTCACCAAAACAATTGCTAGAATTAGGAACTTGGTAGTCCTGCGAGTGACGCGAAGATTTTTCTCGACATCCTGCATAATGTTGCTGCGTGGCGTGCGCGATCAGTTCCTCAACAGAGGCAGTTGTCTAGATGATTTATCGAGTCGTGCAAGAAAAACAAGTTATTAACGGGTCAATATCATGAAGACTGCGTAAGGAATGACAAAAGTACCAAAGCTCGTGTAGAAAACAATGGGGCGGTAAATAGACGCTTCAAACGACTTCGGCATAATCCGCGCAGCATTATATAGTCGTAGTAGTGAACGTAAAAAGTTAACTAATGTTAAATTACACTTTACAGTATTTAAATCAAGTCGTTTTTGATCGTATGTGACAAATAAGGTCGGCTTTCTAAGCCAATCAATGATCTTAATACTGCCAGTTCAATATTAAAATTCAAGACGCGTCATAAAGTGTCTACCAGTTGTGTACCAGTTGTGTACATGACTGGGAGTAGGGATAATTCCTCACGCAAACTGTTATACTTTCAATGTCGACTACTCCATGAGCAATGCACTTGGTTAATACAAAGGCTAAGACAAACTTGCAATCTCAATATTTATTTAAAATCACGGCAGAAAAAAATATGTTATGCCTAATACAATTTAATAGACTTTTATTCAATATGAGAATCCTAGGTATTTACATTTTTATGATACTTACTTCATATCAAAATATACATGGTTCGAGGCTTCCGACGGCTCGCACATTAAGATCAGTAATTGTTTTGTGAGATCACTGCGTAGCTGTCGCAATATTCCAAGCCACACTGGCAAATATAAACCCCATAAACACAAACGCAGCCAGCACCTCAGTAAAACTGCGCTTTTTTAAAGTATCGACCACTACCGACAAAAGACCAGTAGTTGTCAAGCTGAAGCTGTTGGTGTGAGGAATACTGCTGGTATCATTATTCTCACCCGAAAGCGCCTTAGTTTCATCTATTCCATCGTCCTCCACGTCCAAAACACACTGACACTGTATCTTCACGCCCATCGATAAGTCTTCGACTTCAATATCGTCAGAATCGCCAAGCTTTTGTTCATACTTCCGCAGAAGCTGAGCAACTTGTTCCTCAAGCTGCTCAATGCGAACTGAAGCCTCCAACCCACGGACCTTTGCCAACTCTAACGCGTCATCACGCATTACACACGTTGGGCATAACACATCTGCTACCATGAGTGAGGAATCCCTTGATGAGTCGCCTTGACTATCTACGTCTGTATCCTCTTCGTCAACAGGGTCGATCTCTAACACTTGGTCATTTAAGTCCATCAGCGAGTTTACTTCTTCTAGTCCGGTCAGTTCAGGCTGGCTGTCTTCTCGATCCTTCGGTAAATCATCAAAAACTGGAGTTTTCACTGCGAATGATGTCCATCTGGGGGCAGCTGCAGCAGCCTCTAGCGAAATCACACGCATACGCAGTCGCGCTGCATGCTCTTCCATTGCGTCCATTTCATCACGACTTGCAGATGCCAGAGCTTCTAATCGTTGGCGTAGTAACTGATTCTCACGAGCAAGCTGCATCAATGCACGCGAGCGTTGGTCTAGAACTTCATTCACTACTGCATTCACCTTAATCCGTTTTGCACGGCTGGCAAACTTAAGTGTGCTGCGAGTGTCCTCAATGTAAGCTGGTGCAGGCGATGCACAGCAGACAAAGAGCACGCGCGCAGCTCCACACAGCGATGGCTGTAAAATACGTGTAAGTTTGCTGTCACGAAAGTTTATGTGGTCCTGTTGATTTGATTTACTATTGCCAAGGGCCACAACAACTCTGCTAAGAGCCAATAGACTTTTGTTTATGTTCGCACTCTCTGCGGTTAATCGCTTGCCTCCCGAACTCACAGCACGAGCGCTTTCTGATCCGGCCAGGTCGACAAAATTAAGACATCCCACACGCACCCGCTCCACGTCTGCATCATCTTCAGTTGGCGTGGAAGACTCAATACGTGTCTTTGATTCAATAACAAGTCGAAATATAGTGTGAGATCGACTACTGCGCTCATTCATGCGCGTAATCCCCACTGCACGCTGCTTTTCGCCATCACGTAGTGCCTGTATGACGCCACATGCATCCGTGACCACACGTTCCGAATTGTCGGTGAATACACCCGTTACCGGATGTTCACGAACATGTACAGTCGAGGTTCTTCGCCTATTGATCGTATCTCCACCGCTTGAAAGCAAGTCCTTAACTGTTTCGTTATACACTTCTAAGTACGATGTTCTCACAAGATACTCGACATCCGATCGTCTCGCCATTTCATCAAACAAATCCTTAACAGCAAGCTGGATGAGCCCATCGCTATCTTCTACTTGCTTCCTTCGCTCGGTATCTGCCCCTTTTTCATCCGTCAGCGTCATTTTTCTGCTTCTAAATCGTGAGCCTTGCATCGTATGGGTCTTGCCGCTACTCGTTTGTCCGTACGCAAAAATCGACCCGTGAATGCCATCCAACGCCGACCGGGCGATTGAGCTTGCCAGTCCATCATATATTGTTCGAGTTGAGTGTTGGCCGTCATACACCTCGTCAAATGTATACACGCCCCGATGTCGAGCATTCTGTCCCAAGATTGGAGCTACCTCGACAGTTGCTGTCTCTGTGTGCACAGTCCATGCAGATCGATCGGTCTTCTCTTTTGGGAGTAGAGGGCGAAATCGTACTGTAACGCGCACAGATTCCTGTCCGTCAGTCGACGTCTGTTGCTGTAGCAAATGTAAATCGTCCACATCCAAAACTTCAGAACCATCCACTTCGCTGGGGGCAATGCTCGAGGCTCGCTCCGACCATTGCATATCGCTATCGATGCTATTGCTGCGACTTCGACTACTACACTGACTGTAGCTGTAGCTCAAGCGCGCGGAGCGTGGTGGACGCACAAGCGATAGCACGTCGCTATCTCGACGCCGCATAACGTGGGCGGGGTAGTACCTATATAATACACAATTGCCGATTGATATTATGGTCAGAAAATACAGTACAACACATTTACCAGAGAGATTACAAACAAAAAAGTTTATTCGACACTCGTAGGGTGGAGATAAATAACAAATTCCAAGTTACCATATGCTAATGTCTACAACGCCTTTATAACTGAGCATTCAGTTTCAGCACATACATGTCCTGTCTGTCCGGCTACGTTTGGACGAGTGCTCGCTACAAAAATATGGCAGGAGCCGTAATCGTTCCCTGCGTGCAGCAATGCGAGGTCTGAAGCGATCCCCAATCCGAGAAGGCACCACTTCGTGCATTTGCAGTGAAACATTCCATTCTGCACACTCGAATTTGATTGGAAATGGCTGTATCTTGAACTTTTCCTCAAATGTTCCATCACTCGTCGAACTTGACGCTGTTTCAAGCAATTCATTCATGTAGATAGTACGAGCCGAATCGCTCATAACGATTTGTCCGCCTTGCCCCATCTCGCTCATCTCACGTGCCATCATCTCACTAAGCCCTAGATACGTCATTCTGCCTGTTGTCGGGTGTCTCGAGCACACCAACCGCTCGTCGCCATTGTGAACAGCCATGCGAACACGAAGTCCGCTAAATAACATTCGTGTCCATACATCGTATACTCGCACTGCATTCTCGTACTTGAGTAAGGCTGTCGGCCACGATGCCTTAAGTAATTTTTCTTGCACACTCACACACCACCCAAGAGCATCTCGAACACAATGGAACGCAAGCTGAAAGGAATCTCCCGCGGTTGCAATTTCGTATCCTCGAAAACGAGGCAATTGTAGGCGTAGCAAGTCGTCGTGAATTGATTGCGCCTCTGCCATTGCCTGTGGATTACCAGACCACAGTTGACTAGATCCTTCAATATCAGTAACCACGAAAATCGGTCGTTGAGCAGGAGCTTCCACAATGACATCTATTTTGTTCAAACTCAACTCATCAATAAAGTACCCTTTTTCCAGAATCTGCTCGTACACCGAGTTTGGCATAAGAGGACGCAGAGTGCGATAGCAGCACGTCGTGCTCATGCCGATAGCGAAGGCGGTGCCAGCCCCTGATATGTAATAGAGCATTTCAGCCAAACCAAGCCAAATCATGTTAACATCATCATAAAAGTGAGCCACACCTTCGACCACACAACACGGGAATACTAGCACACAGTTTACGATAACAAAAGTTTTTATACGCTGGTGGAGCACCAGTAACCCTGTGTCCACAGCACTTCGAGCACGCTTTTGACAGGAGATCCAAATCGTAGCATACGCCGGATAAAGAACAGAGACCCATACACACGTGAGTTGAAAGAAAAAGGCAACATTTTGTAGCGTCTTCGAAACATTGGGCGGCAGAAAGACTGAGATAGCCATAAAAACAGCAAACACCGCCACACCAATGTATGCACACAAACAGTATCGATGAATCATTGTGCGCTCACGCTTTAGTCCACGATCCATCGACTTGATTATAAGGCGCTTGATTTCATAAGCGAGAACTGTGATAAAAAAAGTCGTACACAGTAATGCACAGTCTCCAATTAATGTGACGGTCACAACAAGCAATTTAAAGTCTTTATCAGACGAATAGACTGCACGAGTACGCAAAAGTTCTCCATCGGTCACTTCATCCACCGTAAGGTGCAGATCATCGAATTCGGTTAGTACACCGATGTAGAGTAGCAACCGCATGAGTGAATAGATGAAGTACAGACGACACACCGAGTGCGTGATGTACTGCACAGCTGAACTACCCACCTTTATGTGTTTGAATGCGAGCAATAAAGTCGCTCCCGTCGTAGCCGTAGCTACCGCCAGCACGATCACATAGGCCAAAGTCCAGTCAAAGCGGGTCGAATCATACATTCACACGCAGATCGTGGTTGGCCAGGTTGTGCACGAATGTGTCACCGTCACGTTAGTCTGAATGGTACACGAGCGGAGCCCGGGTGTAAGTTTAAGTCTGCTTGGCATTCGAAGAATAACCGAGATTTTTCAGTGTCAATTGAGCTCCAGTGTTAAGTTTATGGAGCAGATGAGTCGTTGGTGCGCACCCACCCAGTTTTATTACTGATCACGTGAACGTATGGTGCTGACCTTGATATCGTTTCTCGCGGCTTTGGGTTGCAGTGAAAAGGACAAGTTCTAGCTCGCTGCATATTGCAGTCAAGGCTTTGTACAGGTATGCGCGAAGTTGTGCTGTGTCTTCGTCGACGACGAAGCGAAGATTATGACGAATGAATACAGAAATTTATTTATCTCTTTTATTATCAATATGCTACTTTGAAAGCAGATTATTAGTTAAGGGTTCTGAAAAAGTAACATTCAATAATTTGGAATCATGTTAAGCACAGTATCAACCACTAAACGCTGAGCCGCAATTCAAAACTCGCTGTAACACGCACTCGTTTCGACGGTCATGCAATAACCACTCGAGGTCACGTACTGCAGCGATTTGTGGCCGCTTTTTGAATTTACTCTGTTCTGTATGAATGATCTCCACGAGTTTTTGCCAATCTGCTTGGCCATCATTTTTGAGAGCTTGCGCATTTATTGTGAGCTGAAAGCAATAAAGTCCCACCCTCCAGACCTGTTCAAGTTAATACATATGCTCTCAACGCTGTATATATGAAAGATCTACATTACCTGGTCTTTCTGTGCTTCATATCTGCGTTTCGACGACTGTTTCCGATGTCCAGCTGTAGTGTCCGTAACTTTCAAATTCTCTTCCAAATTGCGATAAATGCTGTTCGTCATCTTTTTTAAAATTCGACATACAGCATTGTGAAAAAAGTGCATGTTCTGGTTGATAAAAGGCAGCATATTGACGAGGAGCAGAAATCGGTGCGCTGTTACCATGAGCATCTGGAACAAATTTACGTAAATCGAGTTTTGCGACAGCAACTCGGGATCAAAATATAGAGCGTGCCAGCGCTGTCGAAGAGGAGAGATCACCTTGTTAACAAAGAAGTGCTGTGCCGCCTTAGTCTCGTTCAATGGAATTGAACCTTGCAACAACGAGCTACTGAGCCTAGCGATATATGAGAATGCGACGTTTGTTAGTTAATGAATTCCACCAAACGGTCCTCACTTACTTTTCATAGTGAACGTAGACTTGCAGATGGTCTGGTTCAATTAGCATACCACACCAAGCGATCAACTCTTTTGGTGCGTATGATGTGGTTTCTTGTGTCTGTTCAGAAGTAACGGTGACTGCAAAATTTGCTTGACTCTTTGCAGTGTTCGCAAAACATCCATATTTCTCATTGCCCTTATGCATCACATCAATGAATTTTTGCGCTCTTTTTAAATCCGTTGTGATGTATAAGAAGTCGTCAGTATATCGTAGCAATTCTTCATGTTGACAACAAGAATCAATCACAATTGCTGGGTCACATGCTTTTGGTAAGTGCTTGCGAAGTATATGTCGCTCGAAATGGGCATAGTAGATGTTACACAATGTCGTGGAAAGCACGGAACCTTGCGGGATACCACACTGTTGAACGAACTCGCGACCGTTTAATTGAACAACATTCGCGGATAAATGCTCCTTCAACAATTTAAGAGCTTTTGTCTTGGTCAAGTAGTCATACAGAACACCGTCCACAAGCACTGCATTTTTGTTTTTAGACTGAGTTGCCAAGTCATCGAATCCCAGTAACTCGCCAGATGGGTAAGCCAAACGTTTGAGTTTGAAAAAAAATGAGCAGGGCGGCAGTGGATCGTCATGATTCGATGAAGAAGAGAAAATCGGAGCAACCTGGCGGCCAATCCAATGCTTACGGATCAGGTACTCCTCCTCCTGTAGCGCCTTTTTAAGCATTTGATAGAGCTTTCGTGGTCGAATCGTATCAAAACAGCGCTCAACATCGACTGTCACACAGTAAGCCATTGGAATATCACCTGATAGACTTCGTCGCTCAATACAGCGAGAACATTTCGAAATTTGATGAAATAGGGGTTTTAATCGCTTGTAAGCCTCGTCGATGTTTTGTATTGAACAACCAACGAGGCGCTGTGGCTGGCGCTCCATCTCATACGTCAGCACTCGATGAACGGCCTCCATAGATCTGTTAACTGAGACTTGAGTAGGATCAAGAGCTCTGGACAAATTCATCAAAGGTCGAACGCCGCTAGCTTTCGGCAGTAGCCGCAATCTAGAGGTGGCTAAGTGACGTTCGCCTGGTAAACACCTAACGTCGGCAGGTTGAAGAATTCCGCCTTCCAAATCATAAAGAGCAAGTGTACTACAACGATTCATAATTTCAGTTCAACGCATGACACTGACTGTAAACAGATATCAGACCTGATAACATTCCAAACCGGACGCTGGTAATAAGCCACCTCGTTGGCCATTCCTTCACATTCAGTGATATAGAACATGTTGCGCAATAACGGAAAGACTATCGAAGATATTACCCACCATAGTAAATCTTGCACAAGTTTTCGCCGCTTGACAAGTTCATTTGGTGGACTACAATGCATGTTAACCGTTAGCTTTCTTCAGAAACAGCTTCAAACTGATCCAACATCAACGTCAAAGTTACCAAAATTTCTTTTTCATCGAACATTTGTTCATCCACTCGATCCTCGTCACCTGAAATTGTTCAGCACACTTTACAGACTAAAGTTACTCACCGCGTCATCTAAAAGTCAAGATGTATACCTTTTCAAGTGAAAAGACATCAAACTTTCTCGAAAAGATGAGCTTCTGTAGCAATTTTTTGACATGCTTCCAATTCTTTGGTGTATCGCTATTGCCCCAAAGTTCTTTTGGAACCGTTCCAGTTACTAGCTTACGAACGAGCCGATATATCTTCTTCTTTGATGTCGCGAAAGCCAGCAGCTTCTTAATATCTTCTTTGTGCTGTTGTAACTTTAATAAGTCTAACATTCCACACTCTATTTCTCTGTCGGCGTCAATTGATCTCAACTTCTTCTTCAGATGCTTTGTTCTTTCCACATTCGATTTCAAACAGCTAGTCGATGCATTTGATAACGATTGAATCGCTTCCTCTCTTCGCTTGCGCTTGCGTTCAGAGCTAAGTACAACGTCTTCACCTTGACTCAGGTATCCATGATCAAGTGCTCTTTGCAAAATCGGTGCGATTATTGGTTGCGATGACACTTTCCCATCGACTGCTCTCTCCGCCAATTTCCGTGAAATTGCCGGATTAGTCGCCATGAATTTACAGAATTCAGCGTTTACAGGAATTAGTTTTCTTGCGAGCTCGTCAATGCGCAAAGCTTTGAATCTCGACACCATTGCTTGTATGATGGGAATCAGATTGACTAAACGCTTTGGAAGTCTATTCATGCCTGCAACGCTGGGAAAAATGACTCGAATGATTCGACAGGCTTCACTTCGACTAATCAGATCACTTGTCTTGGACATTTTCACCAATATATGCGAGCTCGCAAACACTCGATTCTCAACGAACGAACGCGCATACATGACCAGATTAACCGACACTTCTCGTCTTGAACTTTCGGTAGCCTCGATCTGTTCCCGACGTTTTTGTCGGCGCAAGCTTTTTCCGGTTAACTGATCGACATGACACGACCGTCAGTATTTCTGCTTCAATTGGAATTGACATCTTTCACTACCTGCATGTACGACGAGTCTGGCATGCCTTTTATGTGCACGAAAATCGTGTAGTTTAGCAACAAGTGCATCATTAGGTCATCACCCATAATTTTGTGTAAAGAGATCCAAAGTGGTTTCTTGAGCGCAGCCACTAGCGTGTTTGGATAGTAGCACATGACCCCATTTGACTCTATCACTCGATGACCCACAGCTTCCGGTGTTACCTCTCGGTATCCAAGAGTCAGGATATTTGCATCTTCCCAATTCATTGCTCGCTTGCGTGCCAAAAGCCGCTCAATGACATGATGCACTAACTCGGTCTGTAGGCCAGCATATCCTCGTCAGATGTTTGCAGAAAGGTATGAAATTAATGCACGCTCAATTCTTACATGTGGCATGCTCACTTTACAGCTCCACGGGGTGCGAGGAAGAGCTTCGACTCTCATCGTATACGACTGGATGAGGAATGTATGGTCTAGGGCAAAGGCGACGTCCTCATTAGGTAGTTTATTCAGATTCTGCGCGAGAGTGTTGTCTCCATCAGCAATGAGAGTCTCAGTGGCTCTAACATAGATACACAATTGCGTTAAAAGCAAGCATAGAACTGCCTACGCGCTGGCAAAACCTCCCACATCTTTAGATACGAGCGCAAAGATGTCGCTTTTGCAAGCAGCGCCTCCATCTATGAAACTGCACAATGTCGTGTCAGTATGATTAAGATACTAGTGATCATATATCCTTCCAAGGCCTACGCTTACTTTGCATGCACGTGATCACGGTGCAGAGTAAAGGCTGTTTTTCTTGCGAGAATGTGCTGATCAATTGATGTGCAGTGATTATCTGGTTAATATTTTAGTGCTCGAACAGTCAAAGTACAAGTCTTTCTGCTCGAGTGCCTTTGGCAAGTTTGTTACGCAGAACACGCATTTCAAACGCAACGTACGGACGCATCCTTGCTGTATTAATTGATTAACGACATAATTTTGCAATCACACTTTCCTACACAGCAGGTGATAAGATAAGCATCATTCGTGCTCAGCTCTGTAGTTGTCGAGTAAAAATTTCCCATTCCAGTCACAACAGCTGCTTATTTCTTTGCTGCGAGGTAGCGCTCCTCAACGTTCTTCCAGTTTACGACCTCCCAAATGGCCTTAAGGTAGTCTGGACGCACATTTTTGTACTGCAGATAATAAGCGTGCTCC